TACATGGAAAGATGCTCGACATAACTAATCACCAGGGAAATACAAATGAAAACCACAGTAAGATACCACTTCGCACCTGTTGAAACAGCTATTATCAAAAAGACAAGAAATAACAAGTGTTAGTGAGGGTGTGGAGAAAAGGGAACATGTGTGAACTTTTGGTGAAAATGTAAATTGGTTCAGCCACTATGTAAAATAGGATGGAGACTCCTCAAAAATTAAAAATAGCCCAGCCGGGCGTGGCTCAGCGGTTGAGCGTCGACCTAGGATCCAGGTGATCAGGGTTCGATTCCCGGTCAGGGCACATGCCCGGTTGCAGGCTTGATCAATGACTCTCTCATCATTGATGTTTCTATCTCTCTCTCTCTCCTTCTCCTTTCCTCTCTCTGAAATCAATAAAGATATATTTAAGAAAAAAAAAAATTAAAAATGGAACTTCCATATGATCCAGCAATTCCACTTCTGGGTATCTATTTCCAAAGGAAACGTCATCAGGATCTTGAAGAGATGTCTGCTCTCCCATGTTCACTGCAGCACTATTCACAATCGCCAACACATGAAAACAACCTAAGTGCCCATCTACAGATGAACAAAGAAAATGTGAGATGTGCACACAACTCCCCCTAGACACACACCACACACATACACAATGGAATATTATTTAACTATGACAAAGAAAGAAATCCTGCCATTTGTGACAACATGGATGGACCTTGAAGGCATTATGTTAAGTGAAATAAGTCCGACAGAGCAAAACAAATACCGTATAATGTCGCTTATATGTGGAATCTAAACAAGCTGAACTCATAGAAACCAAGAGTAGAAAAGTGATTGCTGCAGGCTGGGAAAATCGAGGCGGCATCAGTCAAAGGGTACAAACTTTCAGTTTTAAGATGAGTAAGTTCTGAGGATGTACAGCATGGTGAGTATGGTTAATAATATTGTAGTAAATACCTGAAAGTTTCTAAGAAAACTGGTGTAAAATGTTCTCACCACACACACACACACACACACACACACACACAAAGGTAACTATGTGAGGTGACGGAAGTGTTACCCAACCCTACTCCCTACTGTGGTAATCATTCCACAATACATGGTGTATCAAATCAACACAATGCATCTTAAACACAATGTTATGCCGATGGTACTTCAATAAAGCTGGGGGGGAACCTGGGCCAAGAGTGAGAGAACAGACATTTCTCCAAGGATGACAAATGACCAGCGAGCACATGAAAAGATGCTCAGCATCACGAATCACCAGACAATGCAAATCAGAACCACAATGAAAGACTACCGCATATCCAGCAGGATGTTATTTGTTGTAAAAGGCAAGTAGCAAGTGTTGGTGAGGAAGCGGACAAGTTGGGGGGGGACGCAAGTGCAAGGCTGGGGGGACGCGGATGGTGCGGCTCCTCCGAGAGAGAAAGAGTTGCCACATGGCCTAGCAAGTCCAGCGCTAGGCGTATACCCAAAAGAAATGAAAGCGGACACGCAAATGGATATTAGGGCACCAACACTCACAGCAGCGTTATTCACAAAAATTAAGTATATTTTAATATGTCCTGATTGATTTCAGAGAGGACAGGAGAGAGAAACATCAATGGTGAGAGTCATTGATCGGCTGCCTCCTGCCGCCCCCGACTGGGGATCGAGCCCGCAACCCGGGCGTGTGCCCTGACCTGGAATCGAACCCCGATCGCCTGGATCCTAGGTTGACGCTCAACCGCTGAGCCACGCCGGCCGGGCCACAGAAGTTAAGTATTGATACACGCTGCCACACGGATGAGCTTGACAACATTATGCCAAGTGAAAGCAGCCAAACACAAGTGTTGTGTGATCGCCTAGCACCGGGCGAGGCAAATTCATAAGGACTGGAAGTAGAGTCGTTGCCTGAGGCTGAGAAGAGGCGCGTGGGGAACTATCGCTCAATGTTACAGAGTTTCCACCTGGGAAGGTGAAAAATTTCTGGAGATGGGTCGTGATGACCGTTGAACACTGAATGTACTAATGCCACTGCTCTGCGCATTTAAAAATGGTTAAAATGCTGTCTGTTATGTTATGTATATTTAACACAATAAAAAATGTAAAGCATCATGAATTGGGAAAATATTACTAATAGCTCCAGTCTACAGCTGCATGGGCAGGGAAGTCCTCCTCAAAGTTAACAACGTTCACTACTGCTTGACCTTCTGGTCAAGGTGGCAGTGGGGTCACATGGCACTCGGAACCTGCCACGGCCACATCACATTACAGCTAAGTTACAGACCCACCATCGTTCAGAACTGCCCGATATCCTGCTGAACCGAGTCCTATAACTAGAGACCCAAAGCAGCAGCGGCGGGGAGGCCGGGAGGCCGCGGAGATGGGAAGGGGCTGGTCCCACACCCACGTGGCGACAAGAATCCGGAGGGATATCTTGGCTGTGGAGGCCCCCCTGAGGAGCGAGGGGTCCCAGCCCCACACCAGAACCCCGAGCCCAGGGTTCCAGTGCTGGGAAGAGAAGTCCCCGCAACGTCTGGGTGTAAAAGTCAGCGGATGGTGGCCGAGGGTGACAGGCTGCTGGAGTCCCCTCAGCTCCTCTTAAAGGGCCCGCACACGGACGGACTTGGACTCACTCCCTCTGAGCCCCAGCTCAAGAGGCACCAGGTACATACAGGGAGGAACTGAATTGTCTGACTTCAGGACAAGGGCTGGAGGGGCCCTTTCAGAGAGAAGTGCTGGCAGAGGCCACTGTTCCTTTGCTGAGCCCCCCACCCACCCAGAGCTGGAAGGCAGGTGCCAAATCTGAGTTCTGTCAACCTGGTTCCCACTGTTTGCCCTGCCCTGGTGGGTCCTCGAGACACCACCCCACCTGACTTGTGGAACCACCCCAGTCATTTCCAGTGACTTTTTCATACAAACAGCTCTCTTGGCTCATGCTTTGGACTTGCCTAAAATCTCTCAAACAAGCAGCATTTGGTCTCTACGTGCCCCATGCCTCTTGCTAAGTGGCCGTAGGCCTGGCACAAACAGCAGCCGACCAGGTTGCATGCAGGAGGCAACCGATTGATGTATCTCACATCAATGATTCTCTCACTTCCTTTTTCTCTTTCCCCCTTCCTCCCTAAAATCATTTTTTTAAAAAAGCAGTGTCTGGCCCGGCCAGGCGTGGCTCAGCGGTTGAGCGTCGACCTAGGATCCAGGAGACCGGGGTTCGATTCCCGGTCAGGGCACATGCCCTGGTTGCGGACTCGATCAATGACTCTCTCATCATTGATGTTTCTGTCTCTCTCTCCCCCTCTCCTTTCCTCTCTCTGAAATCAATAAAGATACATTTAAAAAAAAACAGTGTCTGGCCTCTGTATACCTTTTGCTAAGTGGCCCCAGGCCTGGCACTAGTATAAATTTTGATGATCTGATCAATGAATTTGCAAGAAAGCAAGTCAGAAAATCTTATGATCAATTATCACATATTAATAAAGTATTACATGTTGTATTACATGAAATTATGACACCAAAATACTTCTGCAATTTATAACTTTATAGTGTTACTCAGCTATCACTATTACCTCATTACATTATATTTCAGTTCCTTTTTAAAAAAAAATGTTTCATTGATTTTCAGAGAGAAAAAGGGAGAGTTAGAGAAACATTGATGAGAGACAGTCATCGATCGGCTGCCTCCTGCCCACCCCTACTTGGGATTGAGGCCACAACCCGGGCATGTGCCCTGACCAGGAATCCAACTGGTGACCTCTCGGTGCATAGGACGGTGCTCAACCAACTGAGCCACACCAGCCAGGGATGTATTTCAGTTCCTTTAAAGGCATTTTTTCCTGCTTTTTGAAAAGGAGTTCTGCATTTTCATCTTGACAGGGACACACGAATTAAGTAGCTGGCCCTGATTCCAGCTTTACCACTGAAAGCCTGGCCATTTTTGATCAAGTCATTTAACCTTTGTAGCTCAGTTTTCTCACTTCTCACATGGAATGACATTTATCTTGCTTTGTAGAATGTGAAAAATACATATATCAGTGTGTGTGTGTGTATATATATATATGTATCTGNACACGAATTAAGTAGCTGGCCCTGATTCCAGCTTTACCACTGAAAGCCTGGCCATTTTTGATCAAGTCATTTAACCTTTGTAGCTCAGTTTTCTCACTTCTCACATGGAATGACATTTATCTTGCTTTGTAGAATGTGAAAAATACATATATCAGTGTGTGTGTATATATATATATATGTATCTGTGTGTGTGTATGTATGCACACCCACACCATGGTTTGAAAAGTATAGGTGCTTTAAAATATTGGTGGCACTGTTGTCCACATGAAATATTTTTTAACCACTGCCCTTCCTTGAAGTCTTTAGACAAATACACTTCTTACCTAAAATGAAGACATTTAATTCATTATTTTCTATGGAGCTTTCTGGACTTTGGAGAGAGAAGATACATTTGGTCAAAAAGTGCATCATTAGTGATTTCGGGGTAGAATTCATTTCTTCTTATGACTAAAAGCACAGCATAAGNTAGTGATTTCGGGGTAGAATTCATTTCTTCCTATGACTAAAAGCATAGCATAAATTAAAAGTGATGCCAAAACACTAGACTTCAGCCAACACTCTTAAAGCCTCAAATTTCAAATAGTGTTTCTGATAGACCCTCTGACTTTTAAGCAACTCAACACAAGAACAACACTAGGAGAGCTGAGTTCCCCCAGGACCAGTCCGTGGGCGCCGCACATGCTAAGTATGAATAAAAACACTGGTGTAAAGAAAGGCGACATGCTCAGGCGCTGGGTATGCAGCCAGGGGCCCTGCGGGAGAGGCAGGTCTGAGCCGGGGAGCGAGGCCCATCGCACTCAGCGCCCGCCCGGGCCGCGGAGTCGCCTTCGCAGGGCTCCCTGCCGCTGGCCATCCCGCCCCCTGCCTAACCTTTGCCCTTCCTAATTGCCCTGATCTCATCCCAGCCTCCACAGCTATGTTTAAAGTCCACCTCCGGGGAACACAGATCGACTGTTCCCGATAATCCCTGTCCCGGGCCGCCTGACATCCGGCCTTCGGGCTGTGGACCTGGACCTCCCGGCCGGTGGCTGGGGTTTGAGGAGAGACGTCAGGACCCACCTGGCTGCAGGATGAGGCTGGCCACCGGCTCCCTGATTCTGTGGCTCAGCCTGGGGGGTGGCCTGGCACAGGACGACAGCAGCCCTGACGCAGACGAGTCCTATTCAAACTGGGGCCTGCGGCACCTCCGGGGCAGCTTCGAGTCGGTCAACAGCTACTTCGATTCCTTCCTGGAGCTGCTGGGAGGGAAGAACGGAGTCTGTCAGTACAGGTGCCGATACGGTGAGTGCGCTGTTTCTCTGCCTCTAGAAACCCGTACTGGTGGCCTGGGGGCAGTGGCGCAGGGTCACAACCTGACATGAGCTTTTCGCTCTCATCCGCCTCTTCGGTCGGATTGCCAGATTCAGCAAATGAAAACATAAGGCACCAGAGAAATCTGAATCTCAAATAAACAACAAATAGTGTGTTAGTAGATTTAAAATATTGGGGACACACTTATACTGACACTCTCTTGGTGGTCCACCTGAAATAACCGATTTCACTGAGCTTCCCGTATTTTATCAGGCAAACCGGGCCAAGCAGCTTTCTGAGGCTTGATCCCTGGGCCCCTTTTTATGACTGTTGCCAGGCGGTACTTCAGGAAAGGGCAGGGGGCAAGGGGAACACGCGTGAGAGGTGTCTGACAGTTCCTAGGAGGAAAGCCGAAGCTGAGCATGCGGAGAAGACTTGGCCAGGGGGTGAAGCGGCTTCCTAAGTCACTCTGCTGAGCTCGGAAATGGATTTTCCCCCTGGTGCTGCTCACACCTTCCTTCCAGCTTTGTCCGTCCCCATGGGTGTCCCTTTGTTGACTCTCCTGGGTCAGCAAAGGCGGGACTTCAGGGGTTAGGAAAAGCTTACTGCCAGCTGTCTCTGCCCACCTGGGGTCAGGCCCTGAGGCGGGGAGGGGGGAGGGTTAATTGCAAATGCAAATGTTTTCAAAAGCATACAGTCTCATACAGCATTGGTTTTATGATTTATCAAATGTTTCATCATGGGGTTAGAGATGAAAATGGAGCCAGTTTAGCCTAGCAGGAAAACACTTGAGAAATGTTTCCCCCAAACACTCAACAGATAGAACTCAGCTTTGAGACTCGAAAAAGCTCTATACTTGTAGGCTCACCCACTCGGGCCCCTCACTCCCTGCTTACCTCGAGCAGGGGGAACCGCTTCCTGATGACCAGGCTGACTAGGAGACAACGGGTAACCATTGCTCCAGAATCAAAAGTTTTGCAATACAGAATTTTAACCACATACGGATATGGTGAGAAAGGAAGTTGCGTTTTCTCTGTGAAGATGCCACAGGGTAAATAAAAAGCCTGGTCTGTGCTTGTGTAAAGTGGTGGTGGTGGTGGGGGGGGGGCAAAAGCAGAGGCGCCTTGCCACGGGACTGTCATCTAGTTTGCAGCAATGGGGCACAAAAGGGATGAACTCACTTCAGATACCAACACAGGTTCTCTTTTCCTTCCTTAGAGGCAACACAAGATTTAGGTCCGTGGTTTGGCAAATACATAAGAGCAGGAATTTTTTAGGAAAACAAGAATCAAACCCTCTCCTTCCTTCTCCAGCAAAACAGCATTAAAAGATTTCAGGCCCTGGTTGGTTTTGCTCAGGGGTTAGACTGAAATGTCTCGGTTTCAATTCCGGTCAAGGGCAGGAACCTTGGGGGCAGGATCGATCCCCCACGCCAGGCGGGGCGCGGGTGGGAGGCAATCAATCAACGTGTCTCTCTCTCTTTCTCTCCCCGTTCCCCCCCCTCCCCGAAAAGCAATGGAAAAAATATCCTTGGGTGAAGATTTAAAAGAAAAAAATTTCAGCAA